CCCTCTCTCTCTCTCTCTCTCTCTCTCTCTCTCTCTCTCTCTCTCTCTCTCTCTCTCTCTCTCTGCATTACTCACAATTAGATAACCCAGGCTGTTCCGTGTTCCTCCCTCTTACCTTAATTGACTGTTGGCTAAATGGCATTTTTTCTATATCTAATGGTGCTAAAGCATCTAGTTCTTTCCAGGAAACCCGTCTATAAAAAAAAAAAAAAAAATTATACTGATGACAGTGCATTATCGAAAGATTGAAAGCTATTTAAGGGAAAGCTGTACAAAATACTACTAAATCCATAAAAGTCACCTTAAATAAAGCAAATATATTGATATGAAATATAACCCATCATTCTAGTCATAAAACTGGCCAAATATTTTGATTAATTGGACTGACCTTTCTTTGGTCAAACCAAATTCAAATTTTAGTCTTCATGCTTAACCAATTTTCAGACCCAAGTTCTTTTGTGAAATCAACCCCTTAAATAAATAAATAAATAAATAAATAAATAAATAAATAAATAAATAAATAAACATAATGACTGTCCAGTGTGTGTCCTGTTTCCTTACCCCTGCTGCCCCAGGACATCCACTAACTGGAACAAAATGTCCACCTCTAGAGGGGTCAGCTGAGTATAGTACTGACACTCGTGGAGAAGTTCCTCTGAAACAAACAATTCACACCCTGAATATCTACACTGCTTTGTATTGAGTTTCATATCTTAAGACTTGTGATATATGCACACAGTTCTGACCTGTGATACAGGGTGACAATTGGTTGGCCTGTCTACTAAAACAAACTGACATTTCTGCACATGTACAGGTAGGGTGTAGTTTTTAAAGACGTGAGCACATGGATTCCAAACAGTTCTACACAGTGGTTTAATAAAAATAAACATATGCCATAATAATAATAATTTCACATCATATTTAAGCACACTGTCTTCAAAATATAATTAAAAACTGTTGAGTATTGTATGCAAGTCCACAAACTAAGAAAACTGTCCACTGAGAATTAGGAGGCCCGAATTTGATTATAAATCATAAAAGCATTCACAACACATAATTCAATAAACTACTTGCATCTGATTTAATGCCTTTTGTAAATTGTCTGTAATCTACCAAAAACCTGAAACTTACCTACGCCTTTTAATACAATTTATCCCTCAGAAATATGAAACAACTTGACTTTACCTTTTGTAAGTGTGGCCTTTTTATTTCCTCCTGTAGTGACCAAGTAGACTTTCTTGACTAGCTCCATGTTGTTCAGTAAGGAGATGAAGGCGGTGAAGTATGGGAAGCTGACTTTGTGGGCTTTGTCACTTCCAGCAACCTACAAGATCAATATGAGGTCAAGGTCAATATAATGAAGTCAAGGTCAATATAATAAGGTCAATATGTCAAGGCTGCAGAGGCTTTCAACTGAACATGCTTCCTTTTTGCTGGAAATGAGTGGATTAAACTCTCATCTGGTGTGTTCTCTCTGTATCTTTAAACCTTATATCAATGACCTTTTTTTCTCTCTGTCAAAATATATACTTAGTCAACTACCGAGATTTAATTTTTTTTGCAAAATGATTATGTTCAAAAATTCACACTTTCATTTGTCTCTCAGGTTACATGCAAATACCAAAAGAAAACAATGACATTTGGAGGAAACATTTTTGTTCAACCACTGTTATCTACTTGTGGTCTTATGAGCACATGCATCTCTTAACAAAATTTAAAGTTAAAACATATCACAGAGAAGAAAAAAGACAAAAATGGAAAAAGTACATTTATAGCAATTCAAACAAACAATTTAAAAATGTAAATATACCAAATGAATGCAAGGCATTGAAGCTACATGTAAAATTAAGCTACAGTGCGAGATAAACTTGTTGGCCTCAAGCACTGTATTTTTCAGTCTATGATATATAATGTGCAAACAGGTTCCCCCCAAACTTCAGCAAGTGCAACAGCAAAGTAACCACATTACAAACCTTTAAGACGTTTTTGTCCCAGTGAGATAAATAGAAATAATGACCTACTGATGTATAGTCGCATGGTGGATGCAGAAACCAAAGCTGAAGTCTCTAACACTGACATGTGCAATAGCTGATGAACTTTTGGTTGAAAAGTGCTATTGAGTTTTATTGTTAAAATCATTATTTGACTATAGCAGTATCCACCTAACCCATTAGTAGAGGACTCAGCATTATGTAATTGTAGTGTTATCCACCTATCCCATTAGGAGAAGACTCAGCATTATATAACTGTAGTGTTATCCACCTATCCCATTAAGAGAAGACTCAGCATTATATAACTGTAGTGTTATCCACCTATCCCATTAAGAGAAGACTCAGCATTATATAACTGTAGTGTTATCCACCTATCCCATTAAGAGAAGACTCAGCATTATGTAACTGTAGTGTTNCTCAGCATTATGTAACTGTAGTGTTGTCCACCTATCCCATTAAGAGAAGACTCAGCATTATGTAACTGTAGTGTTATTGACGTATCCCATTTCAGAAGACTCAGCATTATGTAACTGTAGTGTTATCCACCTATCCCATTAAGAGAAGACTCAGCATTATGTAACTGTAGTGTTATCCACCTATCCCATTTCAGAAGACTCAGCATTATGTAACTGTAGTGTTATCCACCTATCCCATTTCAGAAGACTCAGCATTATGTAACTGTAGTGTTATTGACGTATCCCATTTCAGAGGACTCGGAGTACGGATCACATCCAAAGCATTGGATTGCCAAATTACAAATAAAAAATGTAAACCAATACACAGTACAGCCATGCAAATTTTCAAATTTACACAGAAAAAATGCCAAAATGAAAACCATAGGCCGACCCTGTCTACTGAGTGGGGTAGCATAGGACAAAAGCTATAATGTTTTGTTAAACCACAGGAGAATTACATGTTAAATCACTTAACCTCAAGTCCTGGCAGGGTAAAGATGGGCAGTATAATACTGAGAACAATAATAAATACTGAGTTGACTTGGAGGTCAAGTTCTGTTACTGTTACATTTATTATAGCCCAGGCATTATCTTAAAAACAGAAAGGGGGTGGAGGAGGAGGGAGTGGATATTGTTAGTGTCACCTTTGAACCTTTGGCCCTGCAAGTTACCTGTAACAAAATAAAACAACCTTATCACAGTGACATCCAACTCAATCCACCTGAAGCATAATTATAACAAAGTGTTAACAGAAGGGGAAGTAACACATTATATGCAGGAGCGGATACAGAGATATTTTCTGACAGTCTTCCAAATTATCTTTGTTGATCCATCCTCCATTTTTGACCTTCTTCTGAGAGAAAAAATTAGATATCCGTCAATGTTAACTAAAAAATCTGACCGTCTTCCAGAAGACCCAGAAGACAGCCTAAATCCGCCCCTGATATATAATTAGAATGAGATAAGTGGATCGTCCAACTTGTATGAGTAAATAGATTTTTATTTTCATTGAAAGGTGTGACAGCTCTGGTGGCTTGCAAGTTGAAATTCAATGCCAGAGAACCCGGGGTTGATCCCCAGAAGTGGTAAGCCTTTTTCATAAATAAATCAAAACCTACATTCACCAGCTGGTTAATGTACATGACTACTCTCAACCAATTGGGGAACATCAAATTAAGAACCATGTAAAAAGAATGATATGAATAATAATGATACTAACAACATCAACAGCAACCAATTAAGTTGGAAATATCTCTGGTACAGCTTTTTTTTTAAATTATATTTTTCAAATAATAATTGTTCCACCTAACATAAATCAATAAAAACAAAGAATGTTTCTTAACAAGAAAAGTGGCTGTTCCATCAGCCTCCCCCTGACTTACAGCCACTACATTCTCCTTCACAGCAGGTGTCAGAAGATGGCTCTTGAGTGAAGTCAGGATATCGTAGAACTGCAGAGGTGTGATAAACCCCGTGTGGTCTACGTCAAACCTCCTAAATGCCTGCAGAGCATGTTCTTCGTGAAAATCCTGAGGAAAGAAATTTCAGCATCTTACTAGAGATTTTTTGTCTCTATATAACCTGAAGTTTTGCATCTCATAAATATCAAAATGTAGTTCATATTAAACAGATAAAGAACTGAGCAAATAAAGAGCATTTTCATTCCTGTTACATGGCACATATACTTTAATAAATTAAAAATATATATATAATTTACTGACTATTGATTTCTTTCCACTGAAAGGGGATTGGTTTTAAGAAATACACAAAAATACACACGAAAAACACAGACCATGAGTCCAAGTACATACATGTAAAATCTGGGTAAACTCTGCATAGCTCACTTCCCTCCTCTTGTCCCTGCCAAAGTGCAAGTTGACAAAGTCTGTCTTAAAGTCAAAGGGAATATATTGATGAAGTGTAGTATGGCTCAGGACCTGTTCAAACTCGTCTGTGAAGAAAAATACATAGCATCTGATATCAAGTTATCATGGAATAAAATCTGAGTTGAATAGATCAAAGAGTTAGCCTCTTATATGAGTTCACTTACACTTATTAGGGTTAATTTCTAAACAAAACAAGAGTTACATACTGAAAAGCAGAAAATTTCTTGTTAAAGGCATAATAACTCTTTGTATGATACCTATATTTCACAATATAAACCTTGTGAATAACTCATAGAAATATAATATATTCTGTTTTACCACAAAAACAGCAGTTATAGCTTTTATTCTGATATTTGAACTTGTCTTTAGACCACGTAACCTCCATTGATGTCTATACTTTGTTAAAATCTCTTAAGAGATTTTAACAAAAAACCAAACTTTTTAGAAAAAAACCAGGGACTAACTTTGAATGTAAAAATGGATTCATTAACCATTGGTAAGCATGGGAAAATTGTTGTTTACTCCAGGAAAATTCATTTTTTGGCCGAAACAAAGAGTTATTATTGCTTTAATTGTCTACTTCTGAACTAAAAATCAAATAAAGTGTACTTTAAAGCTACAAATAATAATAATAAAGATACAACTTTAGAATCACAGCTTTTAAAAACAGTATGCCTGATCTGCTGTTGCCTTCTGATTAACTTATTCCTTCTAATTAACAAAATAAATAAATAAATAAATAAATAAATAAATTAATAAATCAACTAATTCTGCACACTTTGAAGCATTAACCTTTAACTAAAATATTTTATGTAATCTGACTAGTAGGTTACTAGTATGATGATCAAAACTAGCAATAAAGGATATTTCAAATAAGGGTAAGCCAGCCATGTCAAAATGCACATTTAAATTAAGTTTTGTGGCAGATTATTATATAATTTACATTCATTAACCACTTAAACATGCCATGCTTAAAATAATATTATATAAAACAATTGTGAAATGCATACTACACAACTGTTCAATGTATGAAGGCTCTTAGTTAGCAAGAGACAGAAAAGCAACTTCGCCTGGATTACCAAAAATAACAACATATAGAACAGTACATGTATCATTTTGAACAGAAAGTTGACAGTGAATTTTATAAGACACTTGGGTGTACATTATGATCAAAATCTTGTTAATTGTTTTAGTGTAAACCAACAATACACTCCCCTTTCCCTAAATGTTCACTTACCATAAGACACAGCCCCTGTACCATTGGTGTCAAACAATTGAAAAGCAAGCTCGTACATGGCATCAGGCAGTGAGAGAAGAGCTTCAAATGCTTGGAACTCCGTGAAGGAAATCTTCCTATGTGGGAGGGAGGAAAAACAAAGCATGCAGTTGCTACCACAGTCAAATTGCAGACATCAATACAGTAACGCCAACTTCATTAAAGCTTTCAACCTCTACGTAACATGTGTCAACAAAGCTGCAATGATCTATACACATCTGATTGACTGGCTTAGTAAGAAAATAGAGAAGTTTTGTTCAGTGATAAACCTGTCTGACACTGTTTATACAGAGAACATGCATTTGTATGTATTATATCATAAAGGACACTGATCTAGCGCCTTCAAAGTTTTTCCTTCACTGTTGCCATGGAGACCTCTCTTCTACCACTGACAGTAAACAATAGTATTCAACAGACCATTTATGTTTTGCTGGGTATAAGGCACTGTTAACAGTGACAAAAATTAAACTGCAACTAGTTTTTCTTATATTTATTAGTTGGCTTAAACTGTGATCATATCTGAAAAAGAAGAGGACTTCACTCCAAAAATGATGGGTTAGGTTCAAAAGTTTCATTTATTAAAAAAAGAGATACAAAGAAATAAAGAATAAATAGATATAACATAAAGTAACGTAAAATATAAGAACAAGTTTGTTTTTTTTCACAATTGTGGTCACTGGTGTATCCTGGGGTGGAAAGGGCAGAAAATGTGCTTCCGGTTAAATCTTATTCTGATGTCACTTCACACAGCCATATGCAAGATCAAGGAGTAACCTCGCATCTTCAGATAAACATCGGATCAGATCATGAAATTGGGCCTCTTAAGAGAAAGTACACCTTTGGTATAAGGGTCTCTTTCCAAAAATATAGATCTGCAGAAACTCTCAGTGAATGAAACAAATCATGCAATCAAACCCTGGCAAGCTGCAAGACCAATAACTATGATGATGAACTTTGAAAATCCTATGTATGGTAAAACATGCCAAAAATGTGTAGAGAACAATATAAGTGATGCATTTATTGCCAGCACATCCCAAACAATAATTGACAGGCTGTTGTAACAGTCAACAAGAATGAGAAATTAAGCGATAAAAGCACAGATTGTCTTAATGACCACAATGGAAGATATGATATCACTTCTATCACATCCACCTGGACCAAAGACACAATAACATGCTCTAAGCAGTCACAATCAAACTGAGTTATATCTCAAATATAACTGGTCATAACAATCTATGCTGACAGCCTGCTGTAACAGCTAGCACACCAATGCTGCAGACTAGCACATCTAACACAATGGGTCATATTGTCACAACCAACACAATCAAGCTGAAGGCTGTCACACCTAACACAATGGGCCACAGTGTCACAACCAACACAATCAAGCTGAAGGCTGTCACACCTAACACAATGAGAGGGCCACCTACCATATGTTACCTCCCCAGAACCATTGGTATCGAACATTTGGAAGGCGATGGCATACATAGAGTCAGCAGAACAAAGCAACGACTCAAAGGCTGAGAACTCCGTGAAGGAGATATACCTGAGGTGGGATGAGCAGATTTATTTTATTTCCAAAGCTATAAATGTACAAGAACCTTTGGACTGAAAGCTGAAAATGCCAAAACATTAATGGAGAAAGGTGGAAACTTTCAAATTGTAGCAAAAAATAATGAAAATAAAAAATGGAAAAAAAGTTCTTCTGTGACTGAAATTTGAAACTGCACCAATGATATGAAAATGTGTGCCATTCAAGAAAAAATATATCAAACATACAGACATAATTCGTAAAACTGAAATCAAAGAAGAAAGTTTAGAAATTATCAGTAAGACTTTCCATTTCCAACAAAGACCATTCAAGGCAGAAATTAAAACATTTGCAGCTGACTCTGCTATACAGGTTAAGGGCATAAACTTCAAAATAATGAAAAAATTTACATTTATGTGTAAAAGAAAACAATAACAATCAGCCACATATCTAACTGAAGTTACAGTTTAAAAAGTGAGATTTTGACCAAAGTCTAGTCATCCAGGCCATTGTGCTCGTAATCAACATGAAGGAGGCAAGAGGTTATTTCAAACATTGTCTAAATGAAAAAGCAGGCCAGTAAAAAACTTTTTGTACAGTAATTATCTATTGTCTGGAAACTCATTTTTCTAAGACCTAGCCCAAATATTTAATACTGACTAGCCAAAATCAAATCCCCAAATACTTTATAAAATATAAAACCAATAAAATAACTGTAGCACTAGTAATCAACACAACTACATTAAGGTGCTCCTCAATTTGTACCATTAAAAGCTTTAACTGAACACTAAAAATAATAAATAAAGAGAAAATTAACACTACCAGAAAATACTTTAAAATTAAAACTTATAACAACTGCACAAACCAATAACCATTTATGATGAAATATAATATCAGTTCACGATCAACAGAAGTATGAGGGGGAAAAAAACTGCCTCTAGACCATGACCTACCCATCCTTGGTTGTGTCCACGACATTGCCCAGTAATCTCAAGGTTTCTTCATTGTGGTTCTCTTCTGGTAACATGCCCAGGTATTTCCTGATGAAATCACTGTACGACATGTACTTCTCTCCTTTGACTTCCACACTGGCATACTGGAAGGCAAAATAATGGAAAATATATATTTTTTTAATCTTTATTATTATTATGCCAAGAAGATATTTCACAGAACTTAACAGACAAATAAATAAATAAATAAATAAATAAATAAATAAATAAATAAATAAATAAATAAAATGTCAAACAGAAACAATAACACACAGAAAAATTAGCCCTTCAAATTACTTTCATTAAAAAAATTAAAACAAATTGTCCTGATACTGTGAGTATGTGCACGTATACTTGCAAGCATGCATGTTTTAATGTTTTCATCTCTGGTCATAGCTTGAAAAGAATTACTGACCTTCATAAAAATTTCTCTCAGTCTTTCTGTGTCAGCTCTTTTGATCCATTGTGTCTGGAAGTATCAACCGATCATAACTAAGAAATCATACCTATCGTAAGTCATGAAATAAATGCACACACATTAAGCACATGGCATAAATTGATTATAAAAACCCATCAGTACTTATAGCCATAACAGTTCTAATAAGCCTTACAGTCTGAAATTAGGCCATCCTCTATTGAAGAGGCTGTCCAAATGATGGCCGGATGGCTTGCAAGCTAAACCCTTCCAAAGAACTAAATTATTTAAGACACTCCCATATCACATACTAAATCATCAAGCTTAGACATCTTTGTGTTTTGAAAATTAAAGGTTATTTTTTTCTCAAAACAAGACAAGTCTTATTGCTACACTAGTCTGATTATAGAGTGCCATAATAATATAACAGTCCCATGGCAATGACCAAGGATCTCACAAACTCAATTATTTTCTACTGTTACGTTGGCACTAATTAACTTTAATTACATAACATTACATGTTATAAAACTGAATTTGTTTAAAAGCAATTGCTAACAAGAGGAAAAGAAAATATTTCAACAAATATACCAGGGAAATTTCAAACTAATGATACTGAGACAATCTGTAGGCCACACATGTGAGAAAATAAGGCCACGTTTTATAAACAAGGTCGACGCAATCACAAACCGAAGTTGGTTCCGATCTTGATTCACACTGTGCCTGAAACTTGTTGGGCCAGATTTTGGACACGATACTCAATGGCTCACCCTGAAAATTATAGGAGAAGTGTATCAATACAAGTCTGAAAGAACGCTGCAAGCAGAGAAAGATTGTTCCAATATTTCAGTGATAATTATCTGATTTATTGCTGTGTACTCACATCTCGAACCCTGGAGGCAGCCATTTTGGGTTTGAAAATCATGTGAACGCAATGATCTGATTGGCTGAATTGTGCTTATTGGGGATTCTGTACATGTGATAATCTAAAAATAGAACTGAAAATAGGGCGGAAGTTCACTTCTTGTCGATAACCAAAATGGCGGGTTGATATGAAACACTTGAGTTTGAAGTTTCTGTGATGTTTTTGCTGATATTTCCACTCAGAAATGACAGCTACAGGGAAGGGTAGTAAGGACAGGCGGGTGCTGACCTTGGCTGCGGAAGTAGCGGAAACAAAAGACAGAAATGTGCCAATTTTACTCTTAGATTTACAAGGTAAATAAAGGGTTTTGAGATATTCATAAATATTCAGGTTTACTTGCAAATAAATAAATTTAAAAGATGGTAAAATTTAACTTTTACGTTCATATTTGTCTAGGTCGCCCACCCCTTTAAATAGCCCTTCAAATATCATTTATTGCTTTAAGGTTACTAGTATATATGATATGGACTTGAAATGCCCAAAACTCTTAAAAAGCCCCCCCCCCCCCCCCCCCGTTCCGCACCCCGATCACCAAACTGTGCATCAAGTAGTTAAGCAAAAAGCAGTGTGTCAAATTATGATGTGTATACTATTTCAGAGATTGTAGACAGTGTCCCTGTAGGCAGCAAGGAAGCCACCAGGATCAAGAATGAGATTTGGACCTATGACTTGCTACAGGTGCTCATTCTGGTCCTTAAGCAGGACTTTGACAGAGTGCGAGGGGGCTGGGGGACAGCTACCAAGCTTGCTAATCTGCTGAGGTACACAAACTGTATAGAGCACATGTATTTTACACACTATTCTGAATGTATTGACCTTCATATATGGAGTTTGTACAGTGGTGGTGGTGGTGGTGTGTGTGTGTGTGTGGGGGGGGGGGGGGGGGTCCAGCTGTCTTGATTGCTGAGGCTATCCACTGTATGTTAACTTGGCACTTTTAGTTAACATAAATAGTTAACAGAATATAAGTAGGCATTGATAAAATTTGCTAGGAGGGGGGTGGGGAGGGTAACTTTGGAAAATAGTTTTTTGGATGTTGAATTATAAAAACAAGATTTATATGTACTTGTAAGTGATTTAAAAGAAATTAAGTGACTGATCTTTGGATCAAATTTTCAATTTTCAAGAAATATTATCAGGTTCAAAGTTACATAAAATAATGTTAAAAGTTAAATTTATTAAATTTAGTAAGATTTGCGACAAAAAAAGCTGCTTCAGTAGGGTCATGCTGTATTCGGGCAATAAACCCAAGACATTGTTTTTAATTGTTCACTATCTGATTATGATGCCCGGATAATTATGAATGATAATATCTGTACATTCCAGCCACTGCTGTACAGGCCTAGATCCACCAGACAGCCAGGAGTTTTACCAACTGTCACTGCCAGAAGCTGTAGAAAACCAGCTGATGTTGAGCAGAAAAATTCAGACAAAGTATCTGAAAACAGATGAGGTATGATTTAAGTGTAAACTGGTCTCCAGGCCATTCCTTAGTATGTATATTCCTTAGCATTTTAATATTCACTTCGTAGTATCTTTGTGCAAAACAAATTAGGAAAAAAAAATGTGTGTGTGTATGTGTATGTGTCTCAGTATAAAATGAATATTTTCTATATTGGCAGAAACAGCATTGAAAATTCAATCTACCTTTGTGCAAATTAATTTTGAAGAAAAACATCAGTAAATCTGCATACGGAATATACATGTATACATGTGGCACGTGCATATCAGCAATAAGACATTTTCATTTTTGTGTATTGACAGAATATGACAAACATGAGAAGAGACCTGTTGGACCACTTTCGTGGTGTACTGGAGGCTGTGACATACTTGTTTAGTGGGCATGTGTTCCTTACTACTAATGGTGAGTGTATGGGTAATAATAAAATGACACTAACATAAACCTGTTGTAAACAGGCATGCTATTCTTCTATCAGAGATTGTAGGGTGTAACCTCGAAGGTTCCTATATTTCTGCAGATGTCAGAACTTACAATTTCTCAGCCCTTGATAAGAATTTCATACATATTTTACATTTTATTTAACTGTACAGAGTAAATGGAAGTTTTTTCCCCAAATATTAAATTTTCTTTTCAATGAATATATGCTAGTAAACTTGTTTTAAAGTTTTATCTATTCAAACATTGTGACATGATTTTAAAAGCAGTTATTGATGTGAATGTTTTATTATTACTACTACTAAATTAACAGCTTAACTATTTACTAATAATGAAGTGTTCACATTCCCACCTTCTTTGTTATTCTCCAGTGCTGAAGTCCCAGTGGCTGCTACAGTTGTTAATCACTGATGATGTTGACACCGCCCTGTCCTGTATGACACTTATCTTGAACTGTACACGTGTCAATAGGTGATTGTGTTCATAGACTTAATGTTAACCTTTATCAGCAAAATATAAAGAGATTAAATTAACTATTCAACATCGCTTTAATTTCTTGAAAATGTAAAAAATGTATTGTCTTGTACTGATATACTCAACTTAAACTCAATTTAGACCATTTTGGAGTTTTGTTTCAGCATTTGATTCAAAGTAACAGTTTTATTCAGACAGCAAATACCAGCAAATCATAGCTATAGAAAAAAGAAAATGAGTCTCTGTAAATCCCATTGATAAAAAATACTAGAATCTTTTATGGCAGTTGTGTAAAATGTTCTTAGTATGTTGACTAAGCNTGGCGTTTTAATCCTATTTTTTGTCCCTTTAAGCCTGGCTTATATGCTGTGATTTCCTTTATATTCCTGCAGAGATGTATTTAGTACCTTGAGTGAGAGACTGGTGAACAGTATCCTGGATGAGCTGGTGTACAAGTTATCAGCTAGCACCAACATGGACATAGGAAGGTCAGTTGTGGCAGTGGAGTTTTATTATAATTACTGTATGTGTATATTATGGCACATTGAGCAAACAGATGTACAGAAATATAATTTTAAATTTATACAAAAAAAGGTGGCACATTCCCTCACTTATCCTAAATTTACAAATGCTGTGTTTCTGAATTTACCACAAATATTTGACTTCTTGTCATCTCAGATGATCATGAAATGCATCTTCATGTTTTGTTTTCTAACATGTTATTCTTTTCTGCTTTTATTATAATCCTCCACATGAAATATATATTCAACACCAGTCCACTGTGTTGTCTTCCAGTGCTACCACCAGAATTCTCCTCACCATTTGTGATACCAACCCTCCAATGGTGGAACAGATTTGTATCAGATACAGGTCAGTATATTGTGCTCTGTGTTCATCTAACACAATGTCACTGAACACCTAACACAATGTCATTGACCACCTAACACAATGGCACTGAACACCTAACACAATGTCACCGAACACCTAACACAATGTCACCGAACACCTAACACAAGCTCACCTGAAGGCATCATTCAGATGTGTACAGAGTACATAGTAACATATATCTTTGTGATTTTTCAGAGGTTTACGTCCTTTGCTTAGCAAGTGGACAGGAAAAGGTTTTGGTAAGGATCTGAAGCAGTTGATCCTTTTACTTGAGTCTGGCAGTGCTCATCGGGCTAAAATGGAGGTAATATAGTTCTCTCTCTCTTTCTCTCTTTGTCACACACTCAAACACATGCATGCACGCATGCACACACACACACACACACACACACAGAGGCACACATGTACAACAAGAGCATGTCATTACTTGTAACTGAAATATATTCCGTAAATTTTACTTTAAAACAGCCAGAACACCTCATAAAAACCAGTCTTTTCCTGCTCATCTCGAATTCTTATGTTTACCATGTGTCTGCCTATTGTAGCGGCTCCACAGAGCAGCCACCACTATACAGGCCATGTGGAGGAGCTTCCAGACAAGAAACCAACTGAAGAAAGCAGACAGAGCATTTGCAAAGTTGCAGAGAAGTTTTAGGTAATTTTCAATACATCTGAACTTTTAAATTCTTATCATTTCATTGAAGGAGTATAGCACACGAGGGAAGCAGACAACTTCTGTTTAGAACATTTCTCGAAGACCGGTTCAATTTAATTATCTCTTTATTTATTTACTGTGGTTCACAGAATAAAACGAGAGAGGACACAGAAGGAACGTGAAAATGAACAGCTGCAGTCAGAACTGGAGCATCAGTTATTATTGGCGAGGAGAAAAGCCATCAGAGAATCCAGGTTGAAACAGCTGGAGCTTCTCTCTATAATGCCAGCAGGTTAGTGTGTGTGTGTGTGTGTGTGTGTGTGTGTGTGTGCAACAGACATGCTGAAACTGTTGGTCCAATCGGTCATGACCGGTAAATTTGTCTGGACCTGTAGAAAATTGGACTTGGTCGGTCCAAAGGACCGAGAAGAGTTTTAAGAACCGCATTTGAATTTACAGTCATCTTTCGACATACTTCACTAATAAAATTATATAAAACCCAAAGCGTTTTTTCCCCTTCCATTTCAAGACTATCACATTCAAAAACAAAGTAAGCTACCTAATCGTACTGGTAGAATCTGTCTCAAACGTAAAGAGTGATTTTGGGTCCTACAAAAATCCATTCGGTCCGGCAAAATTTTCATTACTGCCGGTCCAAATGTCCGGCCATTCTGAAAAGTTTTCAGCATGTCTGTGCAAGTGTGCATGCATGTGTACACATTTGGATGGGTGCAATTTTAATTGTGTTTGTGTGTGTAACTTTCTGTGTGTGAATCAAAATGGGTTTTTTTAGCCTAGGTGAACTGGGTATATGTGTGTGTTGTTTGTGTTTGTACAAGTAAGCATTTGCATTTTGAATGAAAGTGATCATTTCATCTAACTGGATAACCTAGTAAGTATTTGCATTTTGAATGAAAGTGATCATTTCATCTAACTGGATAACCTAGTAAGTATGAGAACCACACACTTGCTTAGAAAAAATCCAAGAATGTTGTTTTGAATAGCATTTTTTGAATATTTTTACTTTTTGGATCATTTTCTGACACTCATGAAATGCCCTTTCTTATGCAAAGCCAACTTATTTTTTGAAACTTTTGAATCAAGATTTCAGAACATTAATAAAAAAAAAATTAAGACACTATGTAAATTTATCATATTATAAAATTACCAAATTAGTTCCAACATGATTTGTGTTTACAGCCAAGTCTCAGAAGTATCTGGAAAGTGTCCAGGAAAACGCTGCTCTCAAGATTCAGACATCGTGGAAGGGTCATAGAGTCAGAAAACAGCTGACAGAGAGACAGGCAAATATGAAGAGAGTCAGAGCTGCAGTGGCCATACAGAGAAAGGTAAAGGTCACTGTTAGGTTAAGTCAGGGCTGCAGTGGCCATACAGGTTAAGGGCAGGTTATAGATATCACAACATCTAACCTGAATATTCAATTAGCTGTTGTCAATGAGAAAAGCAAATGCAAGGAAGTATAACTTAATTAGTGATTATACTCTGATTTAATAACTATTGATAAAAGGAAAAGTATAATGTTATGGTAAAGTGCCCCAAATGAGATCACTAAAAAAAATATATATATATATAGAAATGGAATTGTAGATAAATGTGAAAAACACTTTTCAATTAATTTACTCCACAGTTCAGACACTGGTCTGCAAGAAGAGAGAGAAAGAAGAGGGAGCCACTGGCGTTCCAGCGCCCTCCTGGTCTGACAGATGAGAGGAGGGTGGAAATTCAACAGCACATTACAAGGTGGAGGGAAGACCATCCTGTACGTAGATCAGTTTTAGAAAAGATAAGATCAGTCTTAGATTAATGATGCTTCATGATAGTAATCACTGATGGCTTCATGATGGCAGAAAGTTATGAATACCTGGAAATTAAAAATACAAAAACGAAAAGAAAATATTAGTTCACCCAGCGCTTATGCTGGTAGTACAATAATAATGAAATGCTGCCTATTGATATAAATGCAATGTTTGGAATTTATGGGAAATTACAGTTGCATATTATTTGCTTATACATTTATGCCTAACTGTCTGTCTGAAATTGAAACTATAATGTTATATTTTCAGACAAAATGCAAGACAAGGGCTCAGCAAGAAGAAATCCACAACAAAGCCCAGGAGCTTATCCAGAGGAACCAGATGTTGAACAGGGTGACACGCAAGAAACATCTAGAGAGAGAAGCCTTACTGGCCATGATAGAAACTGACTGTGATCTACTACTCAGTGAGTATGAAATTGCGGTAAATAGGTGTAATTATTATTTTATTTTTATTTTTTGCTTGTTGATGGGAGAGGCAACTGATAAAATGCCAAAAAATGTATCTTAAAGCTTATAATGGCTATGGAGTCAGTAACAACGTAAAACAGTCAGTCATATTTGAAAAAGCATTTTATAATAAGACTGAGGGCTGTATCTGAAAGTATTACATTTACAGATGCTACCAGTTTGAAAGACGTGACCGAAAAGGACATTGATGTGTTTAGTTCCAAGTCTGTCCCCATAGCAACCAAAGCTAGACTTAATCACCAGCATGAGTTAAGGTTACTACGGCAACCATGGTATAGAAAGCTGGGAGATGAGTTTAAAGAGACTGAATATGAGGGAGAAGAAGAGTTGTTCTAAGTCAGCTGATGCTATGAAAGATGGATTCCTCATATACAAAATTAATATCTTTATAATGGAATTAAAACTTCTGCCGTCCAGATAGCTGTTTTATATACTGTATTTCACACAGTTGTGGCCTCAACCGTGATGAATGTTTAGTCTTTTTTTAAGTCCTGTATTGAAACATTTTTTAAGCATTCCAAAAATACAAAACGAATCAACTGTATTAATGCATCGTTCTAGCAACATAAGAACCACCGTACCACGCGATGTGGGAGCTTGTCAATGAGTTAAAACGGGGGCCACTATTATTTGAACTACGGCTGTGTGACAGTTTCAACATTCTGATATGTGTGTATTTATAATTGCTTATGCGTTTGTTTACTTTTGATAAAGCAAAATAAATATTTTTCTTATGTCAATGTCTTTAAGTTGGTTTTGATAATTATTTTCCGTAAGGAGTACCAAACACTTACAGGTGGTCATTGTAAGACTAAGATGAAAGTTCTATGGCGTAGTTCAAAGCAGTCGTGTAACGAGAAAGTGCTAGTGTTACAGTATAGATTGTTACAAAATAGATTGTTATAATTGTTACTTATAGTTTCAATACCAAGCTTGAAGACAGATCACATTCTCAGCAGTCCTTTTATACACGGATTGCCTTAGGTGTAGTAGTTCAGCAGCCACTTATGTTTCACTAATTTCAATGCAACGTCAGAATTCTAAATCCACAACTTTATAGTTTCTACATCAGGGCAAACGTCAGTTACTTGTAGGTCACATCATTATACAATACTTATCACATTAGGGGGAAAACTTCAGATTTTTAGTTTGCGATAAAATTGTTATTTTGTTCCCACTTTGCGATAAAATTGTTATTTTGTTCCCACGAGCACTGTCATCGTAGCAGTTATTTCAGTGAGTGTAAATTATGGGACCATTCCCAGACCCTACCGTACTAACTGTGGATCTATCTCCGAGGGGATTCTCGCTAAATTGCTTTCAACTAAAGCGGCTTAGATGTCTGTCACGCCTACTGAAGCTGCTAGGGGGTAATTAATTATCGTTTAGCAGCTTCAGTAGGCGTGCCAGACATCTAAGCCGCTTAAGCTGAAAGCAATTTAGCGAGAAACCCCTAGGAGATGGGTCGATCCTGTTAGATCGATCTAGGTATGGGAACCCAGTCTATGCTTCAACATGTTTGAACTGGCGGCGCAGCGACTCGAAGCAATATGCTGCAGTCTGATGCCTATCAGAGTAAGAGCAGTGCCGGGGGCGAGCATTGGGGCTGTTTTAGAGGAAGTTTCCATAATATTAGTCGCTAAATTTGACCAATAAAAACTTTAACCTCCCAGTAGCTCCCCCTTTAATTGACACGCAAGGCACTTCGCCAATAGTATTCACAAGGCCCCCAGTCAACATCTTGTTAAAGTATCGTATTGTGTCATTACCCAACTAAATATAGGCTACATATGATAAAGATAATATAATTCCTGAATAACGTGCTGAAAATATAAATATTGTGATCAAAACTCATGGCTGTAAGATACATGTTTATATAATACGTGATGCTTGTTTGTAGAAAAGAAGAGATAATATTGAAACAGAATTAATTCACTGACGTTAATTTTTTTGGCTGTGACCCCAATAACTCTAAGCTAACAATCGGTGCCTCTCATAGCTCCATGGAGCTGGTTATAGCTACCAACGGTTTGTATTATAGAAGGAAAGTTGATATAAAATGTTTGGATTCAAGAGCGGCAGCTGGGATAGTACCCCCCTCCAATGGCGGATTTGGGGGGGGGGGGGTCAAAGGGGGTCCTGAATTTTGACTAGCTGAATAATAGTTCCAAATGGCACCGTTCGCCCTCTACAACACCAATTTTTTTCGGGACCCTTCAGCTTGTCCCGAACCATACGCCAAGGGGGGGTCGGCTTCGGATCCTCGGAGCCCCCCCTTCAAATTATCCTGGATCCGCCCCTGCCGTCTATACCCCCGACCTGTCTCTAACCCGAAACGACAAGATATGTAGATCGCCTTAAAACCTGAACACATTATTGCATGATATGGTGCTGCATATGATGAATTCTGTATAAACTTCTACGGCTAATTTTGCATGCTGCTGGTATTCTTTTTAAACACTGCATATTTTTCCATGAACATATATCCACCCAACTGCAGAGTATTACAGAAGACTGCTACACCAGTACTTTATGTCAGTTTCAAATGGCCTTCAGAGTGATTCTGTTTGTTTGTATGATAGGATTTCTGTGTCAGATTTCGGCAGATAAGATCGAGTTAGGTGAGTATATTAAACCTCGCTTTATTGTCAATAATATGATTGACATGATGTTTCTTTGGTGCCTATATTAAACCATTTTGTTTTTCATATCGGAATACCAATGAAGTGTGAAAATGTCATTATTATGAATACGAAATATTGTTTTGGGGAAAAAACCCCTATGCTTGAAAATGACAATTGTGATACAGGGTTTTCCCTCCCCACTTTATTTAGCAAAAAATTAAGACAGTGCACTCAGTCTTGAAAAGAGAGTTATTCTTCGAAAAAAGGGAGAGTTTTTTATCGTCTTGGGAAGTGACATAGTGCCTAAAGCAATAGAAGCGACCCAGAGCGGACGCCCACCTTCCCCCCACTTAAGGGCTTAAAGCTGCACCTTCATGTTGTTAAGACTAACCATTAAATTTATAATTTGAGCATAGCATACAATTGCCACCAACTAAATGGGCAGGATAATGATGTTTGTGAGAAACAAGCAATCACTGGAACTACTCCAGGCGGCACAGGAACCCGGGAAACACCATCAGAGAGTTGTCCCAAGACCACGGTTCGATTACAGCCTGAGGGGTCTCAAGGTAAAGAAAAACACCACGTGCATCCAGCCCTGACTCCCAGCCTGTTCTCAAACGTGCCACCGACCATCAACTTCGTGCTGCCGGATGAAGATGGTGAGCTGGTCGAGGTTGTTACTGACATACGTAAAATTCCCATCGAAAAGAATTTGAGCACATTCACAACAGTGGACTTACTTGTCCGCGGATCAAATATGGAGAACCACTAAAAAGCTGGGCGCTTTATTCCCAATTAGACACTTAATAGATTAACCAAGGGGATTATTGCAACAAGCATTCAAGTGGGTCGATCATATTTGATCCGCGGGTCTGTTAGTCCGGTTTTCTGAATGCGTTCTTTGGTAACTGTGGGGGGTAAAACGGGTTGATGCTGTGTGGTCAGGAAGGAAAACCAAGGTTAACATAAAAAAAGATTAGAAATTTCATGGACAGCATCCGTACTTGTTGTCTTTTCTTCTGTGCAAAACATACCAAACCTTTTTTTATTAAGCATATACAAACACAATACAACACATTACAATATATATATAAACAAACAAAAACATGCAATGCATCACAGAAACAGAAAGCACATTATGTTACAAATACAAAAAGATACACTTCATCAGTACAGTTGTGTAACTTAATACAATACATACACATTCACAGGTGCACAGTCACTGAAATATTAATATAATATTGTAATACGTACAATACAATATATACAAAACCAACAGTGCATTACAAACTGAACTTCGATCTATATGTTCTTTTTATCTTTCACATTCCTTGCCTTCAGTTGATATGTTGAGTCCTCGGATAAGAAACCTATTGACTGTTTATCACAAGGGGAACGATATTGCTTTAGAGTTGGCATTTAAAGTTGGTTTCGCGCCTACAAAAGGTGAGTTAAGTTTATGAAATTAGCATCCAGGTTACATAACAAAATTGAAAATTCTCATCTTTTCCAATCTGAGAAATTTCAAGAAAAAAAATGCTCTGCATTACTTTAGCAGTGCATCTTAGGGCCCAATCCCATAGATTTTAGATTGATCTGTCCCTGTTGGGAGTCTCACTAGATTACTGTTAGATAATCTGGCTTAAATGTCCGTCCCGCCTACTACAAGCTGTAAGGGGGTAATTAACTTTTGTGCCCGCTCGGCTGACAGCTATTTAGCGTGACCCCCCAGGGAGTTAGGCCGATCTAGTTGGATCGATCTAATCTCTGGGAATGGGGTCTTACTATGAAAAAAAAAATGAATCGAAACATGCATTCGGTTTCCGTATCTGTCTGTAATTGTTAAGTAAAGAAAGTCTTTTGTAATATATAAAGTATGTTTTATGGTCCCAGATACTCAGAACTGGACGATGTATTTTCATGAACCATTTAAACCCAGGGAAGTGGAATCTTTTCTGAACATATCACCGCAGCAGAAGGTAAATTAAGGATGTTTAGGGGATACAATGGAAATGGAAATGGACCATCAAAATGTCTCTGAAAAAAAAAGCCCATATGATTTCAGAAAAAAAGGGGAATTGAGTCTAGTTCGATTGGCATCAACCCCTAACCATCCTTGAATATCGACAGGCTAAGTTGACAGTAAAAGGCGATCAAATACAGCAATTAATTTATTTCATTTTCACGATATACATTTTGTCAATTTAACTCTTTGTAGAATGAATAAAGTCAATGAATTGGATGTTTTACAATTAGTGGAAGTTTTTCTTTCAGTTCAAATTCATTCCGGACAGCTGGACAATTGGATGCAAAGACAGACTGACGCGGAATTTGCAAAAGATGGCGCTGATTCACAGGAAAAAGGAATACGACTTTTATCCAACTACCTTCGTTCTTCCCACTGATGTCAACGGGCTTCGACAGTTTTCACACAGCAGCACTGAAGACCATGTCTGGATTGTCAAACCGGTAAATGTTGAAATCAGCGCCTGTTATTTGATCCAATTATACTGATTAAACCAGTGCACCAGTTTAAATTATCTCTATCGACATTTTAAAAATCTGCTGACCACCGAAAGGCTGCCTGCTAAGTATGTCATTGAAGTTGGTATCATTTGAGCCTTAAACTTTGTGAAATGTTTCTTTCTTTTATCTTTTAACACATTTTCTGTAGATTTCTAAATTATCATTACAGCATATCTTTCCTATAAATGGATTATAAGTTAGCACATGCAATTGTTCCACGATGAAATTTTTCTGCAATGGGCTTTGTAAAATAGGCCATTAAATCGATAAATACTGATTGATTCATTGCTTAATTGAATGAAACATGCTGCACTGCCATCATGTATTGTAACATACATTTCACTCCTTGCTTAAAGTACTGTTACAGTAAAGCAGCGGGAATATATATGACACGAAAGTGGCAAGACGCCAACAAGTACCGAAATGCTGTCGTACAAAGGCAAGTAGTGTGCTATAAGCATTAAAACTATTGAGACAATGGTGGCTGGGTGTTGTCGAACTGCATTGATTTCTCTTTTTATGACAAATGACTATCTGAAGAAATAATGTTTTATTATTCTTATTCTCACTATCATTCCAGACCAATTAAAAGCATCAAAATGTACACTGTAACCCGTTTTTAATTCTATGTTATCGCTGTTGCTCGAGTGTTTTTCCGGTTCCCAGATACGCTCGTGTATCTGTATAAAGAATCTATTAACATGATTTGTTGCTTTGCGCTTTTTCGAAATTTCACAAGGTATGTCCCGAACCCTTTCCTCATCAAAGGGTACAAGTTCGATTTGCGGATTTACGTGGAAGTGACTTCGGTGGACCCATTACGGATATACCTATACCCAGAAGGTCTAGTTAGATTTGCCTCCGAGAAGTGAGTATATTTTGTATAATTTAATTCTTTAGTAGTCGAAACTGCAGCTAAAAGAGATTGTCAACAAAAGGAGAGCCATTTTCGCACACCATATTTTACAACATTAAGTCCAAGAAACAAATGGCAGCAAACACACACACTCACACACACACACACACACACACACACACACATTTGTTAATAAATGAAAATTAATTAACCCACCAGGGTGTCGATCATGTGTTTACCCGGTTTTCTAAGTTCGATGTAAACAAACATCGATAATCAGCATTTTACCGAATCTATAACATTTCATCAAACTCTTGGTGGCTGAAAGCGGTTGCTTTTCTGGCAGTAATCTTCCTTAATTTACACTGGAGTTTTGGCAAAGGTTATCTCCACAATCACGTTTAACTTTTTCGATTTCAGGTTTTCCATGAAGAACGTCAATAATAAATTCGCACATTTAACAAACTTTGCTGTCAATAGTAAGAAGAACGGTTTCCGTATCGATCATGAGATGCAAGAAGGACACACTTGGTAAGAATAACTCAAATGAAATGACAATTCCTAAATTATATGTAGCTTTGTGACAACGTTTTTTAAAAATAAACAGTAATGTTTCATCGGTTTTAATGAACTTTTAATGAACTTGTTCTCAATACATGTTTAAAATGTACATAATTAAGGGGTCCCTTTATGGTTGAAGGATGTCTATCATAAAAACATCTTACATCATATGAAATGATAAAACATCTTACATCAAATAAAAGCACATAACATGGTATACCTTAACATGATAAAGCATGCCATAGCATGACGTAACATAGAATAAGATAACATATCCTAAAATGATATAACATGATATAACGTATCATGACAGGCGTAACATAATATAGCATAACATGGCATAGCATAACATGACATAGCATAACATGTCATAGCATGACATAGCAAAGTACGATATAACATGACACTATATGACAAAGCTGGGTCTCCATGAATTCCATTGCAGGTCGTATTCTACGTTTTGGGCATATTTAAAATGGCACCACGGAATAGATCGAAAGCCGGTTTGGGAGGATGTAAAAGAAATAATTATCAAGACTATCATAAGGTAAACATCTGGCCTTAAACTGTGACCGTTTCTTTCAATACGGGTCTTCAAAGAAGGAATATATACTGTATGCTTGATGCAGTCCGAGGGGTTGGAAAGGTATTTCGATAATTTAAAAAATTGATATATTGGTTTGACAGAAACACTTTGGCACGTTTCTTAACCGTTGCGCAGCCGTGCATAGCCTGCTGACCATAAGTTGAATCTTCTGACATTTTGTAAATTGATTTTCGAAGCAGGTTAACATTCTGTGTATAGCCTGAAACAGTAGCTTGCCTATCATAGCGGTTCGCTCAATTATCTCATACAAGTACGTATAGTCTTGATATCAGATATCTATATATGATTATGGTTTAATCACATATCGTAGCGGAGAGGCTGACATGCGCAAGGCAGCCAAGTCCTACCTAAAGAGCAGATACAGCGTCCATGAACTCTTTGGCTTCGACGTTCTTTTGGACGCTAACCTCAAACCGTGGGTGCTTGAGGTCAACGTGTCTCCTTTGTAAGTGAGAATTCTATAAATAAATCCACATGTTATGGTTTCTATCTTGGGCCATCTTTGGGCCAAAAAAACAAGGAAAGAAAAACGTTGGCGATTTCTGTTTCATTAATATCTCTTTTCTTTCTCTTTTTTTTTTTACAGAATAAGCATCATCATAGAATATCTTACAGCTATGACTATTGATCATAATATTTACCATATTTTGAGCACGTTCTTCAGTTATTACATTTGATTAATCATGTGTAATATAAGTGTGATGATGCAATGCTATGCTTTCATTAACCAGATGCTGACTGCGATCTTTTTTCTACTATTAGCGAAGTGCCTGGCTTTTCAATTTAAGGGGGCGCCTCTGGAAGGTTAATGTTTTTATTGATCAATTCATTAGCGCCTAGTATTATGAAATGGCCATTAAAACAATTCCAGTGCTTGATGATGACATTGTTCATTCTCTGATAGGCCTCAGACGGCAGTCAATTGCATTCATATCAACTTTCAGTATGGACCGTAACTTCACCAAGGTACACGTACCGTTGTTAAAGGATGTGCTGAACCTTGCTGGTATACAGATTCCCTTTGTTGGGAGCACGGAGTTTCGATCGCAGTTGGGACCGGAAAGGTAGACTTGTCGCTCTAGCTCGTACATAAATCTTTGTAAACACCCGATTTATAATCTAAACAGTCATGTTTAATTTGTAAAGTTCTACCCTCTAACAGCCAATCGTTTCCTTTGCCTATTCATGTTACATCTACAAGAAACAATTGCACTTTACCCGTCGATATTCGCACAAACGCATATTTGAAGCACATGTAAGTGGTTATATTTCAGAAAGTCAAGCGTTCCTAAACACCTTACTATGGACCATAGGCTGTGGGTGCAGACGCTGTCCGCGGAGACGCATGAGAAGCATGAATACTACACGCAAAGTCTTAGTGAGGTGGGTAGAGTTGGGGAAGAGTTGGGGTTGGGGAGGGGGAGAAGATTTTAATTCGATATTAGCATTTATACCGCTATTTTTACTGTTATTATAATGGTCATAATTGACATCCTTTTAAGCTTTTGAACTCCTAATATGGTTAATCTTGTCCACCTTCCCAAATTTTCTCACAGTACTCTGAAAGTGGATCTCTTTCATATCAATAAGCCTCGTTGATCAGCACTTTGGGTAAAAACTACACACTCATCTTTACCCTATAAACTAAAGAAGCAAACACTTTTTCTTTATATTGACAAGACCCAACAACAAACCATATTAGACAACCTGACGGCAGATGACGTGCGGATGCTGATAGAAACAATAGACGAAGACAACAGAAAGGGACAGTTTGAAAGAATATTTCCTGGTCCAGATACTGGGACATACCTACGATTCTTTGAACAACCAAGGTCAAGAAAGTTTTACTCTTCGACCTTTTAAATCAGAATTTTTCAAATAGATTAGTCTTCGGCGTCAATGATATGTATTTTTTATTAAAATGATTTCCTCAAACGGATTTACTTTATATATAATCTTACATCAAAATAATACTAAAAGTGATGCATTAATTCCGTAAAAAGTGGAGAGACACAAGTATTCAATGAAATATCATTGTAGGAATACCAGAGCCGTAGCCAGGGTTGTTGGGGGGGGGGGGGGAGGGTCGAATGAACCGCCCCTTTTCCCGGATTAAGCATTTATCTAGTTACACGTAGGTTGTTGGTAAAAGGGCCTCTTTTTCAGAAAAAGACTGTTTTTTATATTTATTTATTTATTTATTTATTTATTTATTTATTTATTTATTCGACTCTCGTTAATGTCGTAAAATGATGTCTTCTAGGTACTACAACCTACTTCTTCACCAGTGGATCAGCAGTTTGAATGACAACCAAGAGGCAGGGAGGGACATTCTGGAGTCGCTGTGCCGCCAGTTCAAACATGTTGAAGCATGATTTCAACTAACTGCCATAAATGCTACTTTGACAGTGTTCTTGGGAATAAAAACAAGTCACTTTTATTGCAAAATTAAACTTTGTTAAAGTTGTTTTATTGGGATTTATGCCTATTGTGAATGTTGTGCCCACCGTGTGAGACACTGTAAATTACTTATACATAGCGAGAGATGTTATTTGACCCTGCTGATATACCGGTACGCCTTAAAGTAGTCGGCTTAAGGGGGGGGGGGGAGCTCGGTGAAATGCGAGTACTTGCTGTCGGTGTGTACGTCAAATAACATCGCCCTGGGTGACAGTATGTTATATCCCACATACCCCTTTGCAAATATACGACCAATGATATATAATTAAACAACATATCATTATTCATAAAAGTATCCATACATAAAGACATAATCGTAAACTGTATACTAAACATACTAACATAAAACTGCACAAAACATGCATGTACACTCATAGAAGTAGTAGTACTTGTATGGTACACAGGGCTATACTGCCACAATGGAACACAATGACTCTAGACTACTACACTGTACTAGGAGACACAGGACTATACTGCCACAATGGAACACAATGACTCCAGACTACTACACTGTACTAGGAGGCACAGGACTATACTGCCACAATGGAACACAATGACTCCAGACTACTACACTGTACTAGGAGGCACAGGACTATACTGCCACAATGGAACACAATGACTCCAGACTACTACACTGTACTAGGAGGCACAGGACTATACTGCCACAATGGAACACAATGACTCCAGACTACTACACTGTACTAGGAGGCACAGGACTATACTGCCACAATGGAACACAATGACTCCAGACTACTACACTGTACTAGGAGGCACAGGACTATACTGCCACAATGGAACACAATGACTCCAGACTACTACACTGTACTAGGAGGCACAGGACTATACTGCCACAATGGAACACAATGACTCCAGACTACTACACTGTACTAGGAGGCACAGGACTATACTGCCACAATGGAACACAATGACTCCAGACTACTACACTGTACTAGGAGGCACAGGACTATACTGCCACAATGGAACACAATGACTCCAGACTACTACACTGTACTAGGAGGCACAGGACTATACTGCCACAATGGAACACAATGACTCCAGACTACTACACTGTACTAGGAGGCACAGGACTATACTGCCACAATGGAACACAATGACTCCAGACTACCACACTGTAGTAGGAGACAAATGACTATACTGCCAAAATGGAACACAATGACTCCAGACTACTACACTGTACTAGGAGACACAGGACTATACTGCCACAATGGATCACAATGACTCCAGACTACTACACTGTACTAGGAGGCACAGGACTATACTGCCACAATGGAACACAATGACTCCAGACTACTACACTGTACTATGGGCCTACACACACCAACACGAACATACATGAGTCTTTTTTTCGTCATCTATTAAAGCACGGCCTACTATTTAATGAGGTGCGTACTTCAATTTTTAAGCATTCCAAAAGTGCAAAACGAGTCAACTGTACTACTGCATTACCCTCTACCAGGGTTGCAGATATTGCAGGCAAAATTTCAAAAAGCCAGAATGACTTTCTATTTATCTAAAGATATACCTGTGAATATCTTGTGAAAATCAATCTGTCGCCTTGGTAAAGGGTACTACAGCATCGTTCTAGCAACATAAGAACCATGGGACCACGCGATGAGGGAGCTTGAGTTAAAACGGGGGCAGCTCATTTGAAGTATGGCAATGTGACAGTTTCTACATCCTGATATTTTACAGTTGTATATGCGTTATTTTTTTTTACTTTTTAAGCAAGGAGTGAAATGTACGTTACGATACATGATGGCAGTGCAGCAGTTTCTCAGCCCGCGGTGTGCCTTAGATGTAGCAGTGTAGCAGCCGCTTACTTTTATTAACGCCAATGCAACAATACAATTCTAATTCCATAACTTTATGGTTTCTACATCAAGGCTAACACCAGTTACTTGGAGGTCACATCATTATACAATACTTCACACAGTGGGGGTAAAACTTCAGATTTTTATTTTGTGATTACATTGTTATTTTGTTCCCAGGAGCAATGTCATCGTTGCAGTTATTACAGTTAGCGTAAATTTTAGGACCATTCCCAGACCCCATCGTACTAACTGTGGATCGATCTATCACCGAGGAGATTCTCGTTAAATTGCTTTCAACTAAAGCGGCTTAGATGACTGTCACGCCTACTGAAGCTGCTAGGGGGTAATTAATTATCGATTACCAGCTTCAGTAGGCGTGCCAGACATCTAAGCGGCTTAAGCTGAAAACAATTTAGCGAGAAACCGCTAGAAGATGGAGCGATGCTGTAGATCGATCTAGGAATGGGAACCCAGTCTATGCTTCAGCATGTTTGAACTGGGTTCCCAAACTTATAGCTACCAACAGTTTGCATTATTGAAAGAAACTTGATAACAGAATGTTTGCATTAAAAGAAGGACAAATGGGATAGCCCCGTCTATTCCTCCTAACCTGTCTCTCACCTGAAATGACAAGATATGAATAATGCCTTAAAACCTGAATACATTATTGCATGATATACAGAAGCATATGGTTCTGCATATGATGAATTCTGTATAAACGTCTATGGTCAATTTGAATACTGCTGGTATTCTTCTAAATCACTGCATATTTTTCCATGAACATACATCCACCCAGTTGCAGAGTATTAAAAAAGACTACTACGCCAAGACGCTGCTTTATCAGTTTAAGATGGCCTTCAGGACGATTCTGCTTGTTTGTACGATAGGATTTCTTCGTCAGATTTCGGCAGATAAGATCGAGTTAGGTGAGTATATTAAACCTCGCTTTATTTTCAGTAATATAAATTATGATTGATGATGATAACATGATGTCTCTTCGCTGCCAATATTAAGACATTTTGTTTTCCATATCGAAAATACAAAATATTGTTTTGGGAAAAAGATCTTATGCTTAAAAATGACAATTGTGATACAGGGTATTACCTCCCCACTTTATTTAGAAAAGTTAAGACAGTGCACTCTGCAGTCTTGAAAAGAGAGTTATTTTTCGAAAAAAGGGAGAGTTTTTTTATCGTCTTGGGAAGTGACATAGTGCCTAAAGCAATAGAAGCGACCCAGAGCGGACGCCCACCTCCCCCCCCCCCACTTAAGGGCTTAAAGCTGCACCTTCATGTTGTTAAGACTAACCATTAAATTTATAATTTGAGCATAGCATACAATTGCCACCAACTAAATGGGCCGGATAATGATGTTTGTGAGAAACAAGCAATCACTGGAACTACTCCAGGCGGCACAGGAACCCGGGAAACACCATCAGAGAGTTGTCCCAGGACCACGGTTCGAGTTCAGCCTGGGGTGTCTCAAGATAAAGAAAAACACCACGTGCATCCAGCCCTGACTCCCAGCCTGTTCTCAAACGTGCCACCGACCATCAACTTCGTGCTGCCGGATATAGATGGTGAGCTGGTCGAGGTTGTTTACTGACATACGTAAAATTCCCATTGAAAAGAGTTTGAGCACATTCACAACAGTGGAATTACTAGTCCGAGGATCAAATATGGGGAACCACTAAAATTAGATTAACCAGGGGGATTATTGCAACAAGCATTCAAGTGGGTCGGTCATATTTGATCCGCGCATTTTATTAATCATATACAAACACAATACAACACATTACAATATATACAAACATACAAGAACAAGCAATGTATCACAGACTAAAAAAGCACATTATGTTACAAATACAAAATGATCAGTACAGTTGTGTAACTTTTAAGTATTAAAATACAATACATACACATTCACAGGTGCACAGTCACTGAAATATCAATGTAATATTGTAGAACATACAATATAATATATACAAAAACCTACAGTGGAATTACAGAAGAACCAAACTGATCTTCGTTCTATATATTCTTTTTATCTTTCACATTCCTTGCCTTCAGTTGGTATGTTGAGTCCTCGGATAAGAAGCCTATTGACTATTTATCACAAAGGGAGCGATATTGCTTTAGAGCTGGCTTTTAAAGTTGGTTTCGCACCTACAAAAGGTGGGTCAATTTTATGAAATTAGCATCCAGGTAACATACCAAAATTGAAAATTCTCATCTTTTCCAATCTGAGCAATTTCAAGAAAACAAATGTTCCGTATTACCTTAGCAGTGCATCTTACTGTGAAAAAAAAAAAAAAATCAAATCGAAACGTGCATTCTGTTTCTGTATCTGTCTGCAATTGTTAAGTAAGGAAAGTGTTTTGTAGTATATAAAGTATGTTTTATGGTTCCAGATGTTCAAAAATGGACGTTGTATTTTCATAAAGCATTCAAACCTAGGGAAATGGAATCTTATCTCAACATCTCACCACAGCAGAAGGTAAATGAATGATATTTAGGGGAAACAATCTTCCTGTTGCAATTGAAATGGACCATCAAAATATCTCTGAAAAAAAGCCCATATGATTTCAGAAAAAAAAAGAAGAATTGAGTTTAGTTCGATTGGCACCAACCCCTTATCATCCTTGAATATCGACAGGCTAAGTTGACAGTAAAAGCCGATCAAATAGGCCTACAGCCATTAATTTATTTCATTTTCATGATATACATTTTGTCGATTTAACTCTTTGTAGAATGAATAAAGTGAATGAATTGGATGTTTTACAATTAGTGGAAGTTTTCTTTCAGTTCACATTCATTCCGGACAGCTGGGCAATTGGATGCAAAGACAGACTGACGCGGAATTTGCAAAACATGGCGCTGATTCACGGAAAAAAGGAATACGGCTTTTATCCAACTACTTTTCTTCTTCCAACTGACGTCAACCAGCTTCGACAGTTTTTACCCAGCAGCACTGAAGACCATGTCTGGATTGTCAAACCGGTAAATGTTGAAATCGGCGCCTGTTATTTGATCCAATTATACTGATTAAACCAGTGCACTATAAATACTTGTTTAAATTATCTCTATCGACTTTTTTAAAATCTACTGACCACCGAGAGACTGCCTGCTAAGTATGCCATTAAAGTTGGTATCATTTGAGCCTTAATCTTTGTGTAATGTTTCTTTCTTTTATCTTTTAACACATTATCTGTAGATTTCTAAATTATCATTACAGCATATCTTTCCTATAAATGGATTATAAGTTAGCACATGCAATTGTTCCACGATGAAATTTTTCTGCAATGGACTTTGTAAAATAGGCACTTGAATCGATAATAAATATTGATTGATTCATTGCTTAATTGAATGAAACATGCTGCACTGCCATCATGTATCGTAACGTACATTTCACTCCTTGCTTAAAGTACTGTTACAGTAAAGCAGTTGGAATATATATGACACGAAAGTGGCAAGACGCCAGCAGGTTCCGAAATGCTGTCGTACAAAGGCAAGTAATTTGCTATAAGCACTAAAACTATTGATTTCTCTTTTTATGACAAATGACTATCTGAAGAAATAATGTTTTATTATTCTTATTTTCACTATCATTCCAGACCAAATCAAAGCATCAAAATGTACACTGTAATCCGTTTTTAATTCTATGTTATCGCTGTTGCTCGAGTGTAATTCCCGGTTCCCAGATACGCTCGTGTATCTATATAAAGAATCTATTAACATGATTTGTTGCATTGCACTTTTTCGAAATTACACAAGGTATGTCCCGAACCCTTTCCTCATCAAAGGGTACAAGTTCGATTTGCGGATTTACGTGGAAGTGACTTCGGTGGACCCATTACGGATATACCTATACCCAGAAGGTCTAGTTAGATTTGCCTCCGAAAAGTGAGTATACATGTATTTTGTATAATTTAATTTTTTAGTAGTCAAAACTGCAGCTAAAAGAGATTGTCAACAAAAGGAGAGCCATTTTCGCACACCATATTTTACAACATAAAGTCCAAGAAACAAATGGAAGCAAACACACACACACACACTGGACACACACACACACACACACACACATTGGTTAATAAATGAAAATTAATAAACCCACCATGTGTTTCGATCATGTATCATGTGTTTACCCGGTTTTCTAAGTTCGACGAAAACAAACATCGATAATCAGCATTTTACCGAATCTATAACATTTCATCAAACTCTTGGTGGCTGAAAGCGGTTGCTTTTCTGGTAATAATCTTCCTCAATTTACACTGGAGTTTTGGTATAGGGTATCTCCACAATCACGTTAAACTTTTTCGATTTCAGGTTTTCCATGAAAAACGTCTATAATAAATTCGCACATTTAACAAACTTTGCTGTCAATAGTAAGAAGAACGGTTTCCGTATCGATCACGATATGCAAGAAGGACACACTTGGTAAGAATAACTCAAATGAAATGACAATGCCTCCATTATAAGTAGCTTTGTGACAACGTTTAAATAAACGGCAATGTTGCAATACATGTTCTCAATACATGTTTAAAATGTACATAATTAAGGGGGTCCTTTATGGTCGAAGGATGTCTATCATAAAAACATCTTACATCACATGAAATGATAAAACATCACATCACATAAAAGCACATAACATGGTATACCATTTACGGTTAAAACATGATAAAGCATGCCATAGCATAACGTAACATAGAATAAGATAACATATTCTAAAATGACATAACATGATATAACGTATCATGACAATCGTAACATAACATAACATAACAGGGCATGACATAGCATAACGTGACATAGCATGACATAGCAAAGTACGATATAATATGGCACGATACAACATGACATAGCATGACATAGCATGGCGTGCCACACCATGACATTATATGACAAAGCTGGGTCTCCATGAATTCCATTGCAGGTCGCATTCTTCGTTTTGGGCATATTTAAAACGGCACCACGAAATAGATCGAAAACCGGTTTGGGAGGACATAAAAGATATAATTATCAAGACTACCATAAGGTAAACATCTAGCCTAAAACATTGACCGTTGCTTTCAAAACGGGTACTCAAAGAAGGAATATATACTGTATGCTTGATGCAGTCCGAGGGGTTGGAAAGATATTTCAATAATCTAAAAAAAATTGATATATTGGTTTGACGGAAACACTTTGGCACGTTTTAAACTGTTGCACAGCCATGCATGACCTGCTGACAGTAAGTTTAATCTTCTGACATTTTGCAAACTGATATGATTTTTGCAGCAGGTTAACTTTCTGTGTATAGCCTGAATCTGTGGCTTGTTTATGTATTTGGTTATCATAGTGGTTCGCTAAGTTATCTTATACATGCACGTATAGTCTTGATATCACATATCTATATATGATTGATATGGTTTGATCACATATCGTAGCGGAGAGGCTGACATGCGCAAGGCAGCCAAGTCCTACCTAAAGAGCAGATACAGCGTTCATGAACTCTTTGGCTTCGACGTTCTTTTGGACGCTAACCTCAAACCGTGGGTGCTTGAGGTCAACGTGTCTCCTTTGTAAGTTTAAATTCTATAAATAAATCCACATGTTATGGTTTCTATCTTGGGACATCTTTGGGCCAAAAAAACAAGGAAAAAACGTTGGCGATTTCTTTTTTTT